AGGACAAACAAACAGAGGCTCACGGACATGGACTATAGACTAGTGGTTATGACTAGTATTATTTTTGAGCTTCTCTAATAAAGCCATTAAAATGATATCCATTATCTGACTTGACATCCGCGCACACACACAATCTTTAAGGTCAATAACATCCCATTCTATCGATGAGAAACTAAGCTTCACTTTACTTTGGTTGAACAGAGCTAGTTAGTGGCTGTCTCAGGATTAAAATCCAATGTTTTGACTGAGTCTATTTAGGTTTCCTTTCCTTGCCAGCAGACTGCCTTTTACAAACTCAGGTCGTTGAAGCTTGGCCTGCCTGCTGCCGAGTGTGTCCCCAAGAAGCGCAAACACATGCCCACGTTCCCTTCCCATCCTTTCGTCCAGCCCGTGTGGAAAGGTGTCACGCTTTTATGCATGCCTGGGTGAGCAGCCCCGACAGAAGCCACCCTGGGAAGGGAAGCCGTCCGAATCGATTAGGAGATGAAATCGGTTTTGCTTTTGAAATATCTGGCACTCTCATGAGGAGATTGCTTCTCTAAAGAAAGCTAATTTAGAAATGGAAAAACCTTTACTATTTGGGTGTCTTTCCTATTAAAATAACTAAAAGCCAGCACAGGAGTTCAGAAGGGAGTGTTTGAAACCCCGTGGCATTTCCTGCTCGATGGTGGCAGCGTTAAGCAAGGGCACGTGGCTTTGCGGTCAAGTTGAAGAGCCTGGTAAAGAGGAGGGGGTCTTGGCGGGAGATGTATGGTGGCCATTCGCGGCAGTCTCAACAGCCCTGCGAGAGCCCGTCCTCCTCAGTCACTCCCATCTGACCTTGACTTGGGCGGTACTTTTCCAGTTAGGACAGATGTTGGACAAAATGCAGATGAGGGCAGAATTTGTTTTTGAACCCATCAGCCTCCTTCCCTCTGAAATGTTCTGTCTTTCACACTCCGCAGCTGATTGGTGCACTGGGACCCCAGAGAGTCTGGTAGGCTCCTTCCTTTTCCGGTGTCCTCATGAAACTCCATTCCTCACATACATGTGTTTTGACAGGTTTAGAGGCAGGCAGTAATTTAAGACATTTCTAATTGTGGAATTTCTTGCATCTCCAAGATGGTGATGCAGGGTGTTCTCACCTGCTTCTAGATGAGAGTTGCTTCCCCCCACCCCTCCTGACACAAATTCTCCTCCAGACACAAATTCTCTTGAGAGACAAAGAAACTGATCCACAGACTCAGGAAGGGCCTTGACGAGCTCAAACTCTGAAGCTTCGTCTTCCATTTATTTTCAAAATACACTAGTTTTTCAATAGTTGGTGATTTTTTTTTTTTTTTAACGTGGTTAAGATACACGTGAAACACCGCCCTCCTAGATTGTGGAGGACTGTTAGTTAGCTCAGTGCGGCTTCAGTGAACATTTATCACACGTTCACTATCGGGAATACAGAAACAAGTATGGTTTCAAACATTCTGCAGTAGGACCGCGTGCCCCAAACTTGGTGTCAGATAACGTGGTGGTACCTGTTTAACATTTACGTTCCCCACAATATTACTTTTAAACTCCTGCACACCATGTGCAAAGGACCTGGGGCGTGCCTCACTTCCTGGATGTGGTGGTCACGGCCCTCTGGTTTCCACAGGGAGGTCAGGCCTGGGCAGATGTATCAGTACCAAGTTCAAGCTGTAGCAGGAGCAGAACTGGGAGAAGCGTCGCCTCCTCTGAGCCACGTCCACGGAGCTCCTTACTGTGGAGATGGGAAGGTGGCAAGGTGAGTACCGTGTGCGTGGGGAGGCGGGAGCCAGGCCCCCTCCCCTGCTCTGACCAGGCGGGCCAGCCTCGAGTTTCAGTTCGACTTGTTTGGAGATGTAGAGAGCAGGGCACCGTGATTCTACTAGTAACAAAATCTGGGGTCTACCTGGTCGTGGTCTTGAGATGTCACTCACATCCCTTCATAGTGAAGGAGGGACCCACTTTTGTTTAGATCTCACCCCAGAGCTGAGATATCGGGGCTGATTCTGTGGGGGGCCCTATTAAGCTTTCAGAGAACAGCTGCGGTTCAGTGAAGGAATTCACGGGGGAGAAAGTTACTCGTCGAATAATGCTACGGGAGGAGGTGAGGATATCTTTTGGGTCAGTGGCCTGTCCTACGCTGCTAACTGACGAAGGTCAGCTTTCTGAGCTTCACTCGCTCGTTGGACCCTGGAAGACCAATGGCAATGTAATTTCCAACCGTTCTATAAAATCACCGAGGTAAAGATGGAATCCTTCCCCTGGCTTCTCAACAGGCGTGTTCCTCGTTCTGTTGCCCATTTGCGATATCAGCCTAGGGGACTAATTCCTTCTGATCTGCCTGGGACTCTTCCACATTTGGCGCAGAAAACTCCTGTGTCCCAGCAGTCACCCTGCGTTAACCTGTCCTGAATGCTCCTTTAACTTGTCACCTACATAAAGCTCCCTGGGTGTAGGAGCCTGGAAGCCCACTCGCTGTGATCTGTCTTAGATTCTGCATGCTGAGATGGCGGCCTCTTTTTAATTTCCTAGACCAGGTGAAAATATATTGTATCTTGAAGCCCTGATAGGAAGCACGTCTATAGCCTTTCTTCGCATCCCGTCCCATCATCGAGCAATCACTCGACACTGTTCATCTTCTCAATCTTCTCAGATCCTTGAGCTTCGGTGTAAGCCTGCTCCTTTTCACAGAGGTGTAAACACCGAACGTTCCCAGGCTTTGATAATATATGGAGAGGACGGGCTTACTCGAATACCCAGACCTTGCCAGTTTGCTGCCGACTTCTGTCTCATTCGGTCTCAGCCTGCTACCTTCCTTCTTCCATCTCAGTCAGATTTTTCCCTGGGGAAGCCTCCTGTGTACACAGACTAAGACTGGCTGTTGTTATTTTCTCTGTTCTGGCCCCTCTTTTTAAGTCTGCTACCTACCAGGTAAGACGTATGGGGGGTTTGGTCCCCACTGCAACCCAGGCAGAATCCTCCTTAAATAAAACTTTTCCCTATGTCATGGCATCTCCTACAGCTGTTTTCTGATGGTAACCACTTGAGGTCCCAGGATGCCACATATGCCTGGAAGTCTGGGCCAAAGCAGTGAAGGGCCCTCTCTGTAACTTGATATTGCACATTCTCTCCTGTGCCTTGAAACAGCTTCACCTGAGGCAGCTTGGCTATTGGGCCTTACAAAGTTTCTTATCAAAATATTCCTTTAAGCATCTGCCTGTATTCCCTCTCTGTAAAGAGTCATAGTTAGTTCTGCCATCCAAAGGGAAGATTTCTCTGAATTGCAGCTTTCCCTCAGCCAGAGGCTCCCCATTACACATAAAACAAGAAGGAGCCATCCAAATGATTTAATCCACTGTTTAAAACTTGAGCAATGTGTTGATTCATTCTAAGGGCATCGCAGATCCCCAAAGAAGTCATCCTCAGACTCTAGTTTTAAGAATTTTTTATTAAAAGCTAAAGGTTGTCACTTTGGGTACCACTTATCAATAAAATATCAAAACGAAAACCACGGAGGGCCCTGAAATTGCGAGCGGTGTTGGGGTACAAGTTCATTATCTCAGTCTCTGCTGCCCAGCGGGGAGCCACCGACTCCGCGTGGTGCCTGTTGAGCCTTCGGAATGTGGCGAGTGCAACTAAGAAACCGAATTTTATTTTATTTTCAGTAATTTAAGTTTAATTTCAAAACCAAAACTTGATCCAGTTACCAGAAAACCTTTAAGTGTATCTGAAATAATTTGGGTAGGTAGAATCTACTTTTCTAACCATGGATTCTAAGAAATCTAAATACAGATCATGTTTCAATCAAAATTTTTTGTGAGAAATGCACATCAGGTTTTAAAGACAGCATTCAAAGAAAGAATAACATGTCATTAATAATTTTTCTGTACTGATTACATATTGAAATGATATCTCGGATATATTGAGTTAAATGAAATATATTGTTAAAATTAATTTCACCTGTTTCTTTTTGCTTTTTAATGTGATTTCTAGAAAATTAAAAATTATATGTAATATGGGTCTCATATTTCTATTGGGTAATAGTGCCTGAGATGATACCCAATATGCTTATATTAATTGTTTAGATTATCTTCAAGATGAAAATGAATCTGAAGTTTTCATAATTTCTTCGGTTATGTTATTTTTATATCTCTTATTCTTTCTCCTATAGGATGCTTTTAATTCATTTTAAAGCAGTCCCATATTTAATTCTTTGATCTTTACTCCATCCCCTTGAGGAGGTATACTTTAAACAATGGTTAGAGCTGTTGATGATGCCCGGAGGCTGAAAACACTTTAGCCTTCCAAAACCCTTCAGCTGCTGAGTTAAATGTGTGCCCATTTGGACATAGTGAAAAGTCAAGGAGAAAAAATGGTAAATCTCAAGCCATTTTACAATGGCCAAATCTTGGTTCTTTCAAAGTCCAGCTTTCTTATTTTGTTCCCATAATATGCTTTGTGTACTCCTCACTCTAAACTAACTCTCCCTCTCCCCGCTCCTGCCCCTCAATCCAAATTTAGTCATTGGTTTTATCAGCATTTGAGGTTCAAAACAAACATGAAACTTTTCTTCTCCGGTATGTTTCTTCCCTGCAATACATGTTATCAGCCACCAGGTGGTAGTAGTGGTGGGGAGTAAGGACAGGGACCTGAGCCTCAGCCTTGCCTTGGACTGAGAGAAGACAGCAGTTGGCTGACTGCCCAGTCTTAGTATCCAGACAGATTTCCCTTCTACAGAATCTTGACCTCGATGACAACTGCATCTAGATTGATCAAAACAGTGAACACAAAGAAATGTCAGATAAAAATGAACAGAAGACAAAACCACACACAGATAAGCAGGTTTTGTTTCTCTTCACCTAATTCACTGCATCTCAGATTTCATTCATAATAGAGCCGACAGGGCCTTTTCTAGTTGAAGACCACTTACCAGAAACACTGTCAGGACCCTCGTGAATCTTCTCGACATTTCTGAGCCATGAGCTATTTGAATTTTGGTAATTCCCTCAACCTACCGGAAACACCAATCGAAAATCATTGCTTAATTTGTATCTTCTTTAAATGTCTACATACCTAATTTTTTCCCTGTGAAAACATCTACTACTTTTCTGCAGCTTGCACTTTTTAATATATCATAGGAAATTTAAAGAATTTAAAATGATGGTCACTGAAAAAGAAAAATCATTTTATGTGTGTGCGTGTATAAGCATGTATATTTTTACCTTCCAGGAGCTTGGGAGAAGAGTGTGATGACGGTGATCTGTTGAGTGGAGATGGCTGCTCAAGGGCGTGTGAACTGGAGGAAGGCTTCAAGTGTGTAGGTGAGTCTAGGAGCACCTGCCGAGGCTTACGTCCTGGTTTTGGAGGTGGCTTCAGGTCTTAATTTTGTGAGTTCTTGATATTCTGTAACATAGCTTGGCGATAATAATAATAATAACAGTAACATTTGATGTGTCTCTTGTGTGCCACATACTAATTGCTTCACATATATTATCTCATTTGATCCCTACTGTAAGTATGAGGAGACTAAACTGAGGCACGAAGACCTAAGATATCTTGCTTTCTCTTACACAGCTAGAAGTGGTAATGTCAGGATTTGAACCAAGGAAGTACAGCTGTAGAATCTACAGGTTAAACCACTGGGCTAGACTGCCACCTAGATTAATTTTGCCAAGGATTTCTCCCGGGTCTTCATGTCTAATATCAAAATATCAACTAAGTAACACAATCATACAGACTCTATGTAAAAGTTAGGGTAAGGGATCATTCTAAGCCAAAAGGAGTACTGTGTTTGATGGATAAAATCATGAAGGGTGACAGAAGGTCATAACACTTCTTAATCTTGTGGAATCACTGGAAATTAGAGCTAGGTGGCATTGACTCTAGACTCTTGCCGCTCAAGGAGGCTGTCTGAACACTTCTCCTGATTCTGGTTAAAGCCATCAGCAGGCTTCTCAGATGTCGATTATTTTTCCATTCCCATCTGCATACCATTGCAATAATTATCTACAACATAACCACTCATCAAAATTATTTTAAACAGCAGTGCATTTAAAAATATTTTAATGTCTCTAAACCTCAAGATAAAGCAGGGTACGGTATAATTATGCAAAATTTATTAAGGTGTTAAATACTGTGCAGAACACACTAGTATCCCTGTTCTCTAGAGCAGAATCATAAAGCCATAAACTCTTAGTGATCTTCCTTCCTTCCTTCCATCCATCCATCCATCCATCCACCCACCCACCCATCTATCTCTCCAACAAAAAATATTCACTGCCCACCATGGACCACAAGTCTAACAGACACCCCGATCCCTTCCCGCATACAGCGTTGTGGTGACTGAAGTCCAGCTTCCCTCCATTCTAGAAATCCCTTCCTCCACTTCCCGAGAGATGGGCCCCTGGCTTCTGCTCACATACTTCTAGCAGTGAAGAGTGCACCTTGAAACAGATGATTCTGTTTAAAAATGGCTTTATCTGTTATAAAACTCATCTCTCCCTTCTGGTTTGGAAACTGAGGCTCAGAGAATCTTAGCGACTCATCCGCAGGCATACACTGAGGTCTCTGCCGAGCCGGTCCTGGAACTCAGCTGTCCTGATGCTTAATCGAGTGCTTTTTCCTTGCTCTGAATCTACAGAGGATATTTTTTCCCCTGTTTTATTTGACTACCATTCAGATACTTGAAATGCCTCCTCATTATTCTGCTTTCCAATCCAAACATCCTCGCATGTGATTAGGTTTCCAGACCCTTTCCTATTTACCTTAAGCTTGCATGCTTCACGTGGTCGGTGCCCAGAAAGGAATTCAATACTCCACATGTGGCCTGGATGTGCAGAATACGCTGACCCGAGGACCTCCTCTCTTCTCTACCAACTATTTCTTAATCCCACCTCTGTTTGCATCATTTCTGTTTATAGCACACAGTGGGGACTCATATTGAACACACACACACACACGCGCGCGCGCGCGCGCACGCACATGCACACACACACAATTCTCCAAACACCGTGCCTTCTCCAGCGCAAGTCACATCTCATTTAACTTGAGAGCAGACCTCACTTGGTTTCTATCACATCTGATCCCATTCAGGTTAGCTCATATTTTCTTAGCCTCTAGCTCTAGTAAGACTAGACCTAAATTTTATAAAGCAAAGTTAAAAATGATCTATTCCACAGTTAGACATCTGTTTCAGTGAGTAATACATTTATGGTATGCTAAGCATAAAGTTCTATTTCATTATTTCTCCAAAGATTAGGTTTGAAGGAACCACTGTGAAATGTGTTTTTAAAGTGCCAGTTATGATTTAGATGGATTTGAAAAAACAGAGGCAAAATTTTAAGTACTTAGTAAAAAAGAAATAGAGAAAGAGCAAGAAGAAACAGTTATTGGGTAATAAATAGAAAAATGAAACAAATATATATGTTATAAATAATATGTACATTACAAATTACATGTTGTAAAATATATATGTGTATTCAGATATACATATATGTATATATACATATAAAATGTATACGTATAATATATACGTATTTATGTATATAAATACGCATTACATGTCTCTCTCCTAGAGATTGAGGGAGGGAGGAGAAGGAGGGAGAGAGAGAGAGAGAGAGAGAGAATCATTATGGGGAAGTCATTCCAAATATACATGTATTGGCTTTGGGGAGTGGGCTGGGGAGTGGGCTGGGGAGTGGGTTGGGTAGGCCATAGGTTTGATGAAATGTAGGCATTTAAAGCCCCAGATAGATTTAGAATAGAACCAAGTCTTCAGAACAGCGGCTTATTCCTGGCAAGTGAGATTAATTTACCACAGTAAGGTCTTAGACTTGAAAAAATTATTGAGGAAGATAATTAGTAAATCCCTGTTGATGAGCCGCTGAAAATTATTGGAATAGCCCTGTGGCATTGCTATGAAGTGTTGAAAACAACAAGATTGGGATAGTAATGGGGCGTTTTAGCAATGCTGTTACTGAATGCGTACCTATGTGATTTATTTTGAATCTTGATCTTATTTTCATGTCCAATTATTTTAAGTAGAAATGGGAAGGAATTGTGCTGCTAATATTAATCTGTCCCACATTTTAGTAGAAAATTCAGTAGAACTTAATAAATGGCCTAATAACTGCATCACGGCTTTCTACATTGGAAGTAGTTTGCACATCTCTAGCTAAGTACTCCTCACTTAGGGTTCTATGCACAAGGATGGAGCTTGTTCAGAGATTAAAAGCTTGATTTGTAACACGATACTTTGTCATAAGCCTTTATTTCTCACCTATTTGCTCTTGAAGAAGGTCCTGCCTCAGCCTGAGGCAGTGTGAGCAGTGGAGAGCCCCCCGCACCCACGCTCCAGGAGCCTGGCTCAAATCCAAGCTCTGTGACTTATGAATCACGGGGATCTTTGACAAGTCCCTTAGAATCACTGAGACTCAGGTTTCCTATTTATGAAACAAACAAAAAATACGTACCTCCCATGGTTGCTGCAAGACTAAATCATACGCCGCGATCCTCAGAAACCCGAGCCCCCGTCGTCCACGTGCGAGCAGAGGCAGGCTAGTGGAAGAGACAATCCAGCAGCAAAAAGCGATTGCAGGCCGACCCCCCACATGGGACATTTCACAAACCGTGAAGGGGATCCAAGTACCTAACACGTCGCACCATTTATTTAAATTCCTTTTCTTCTTTTATCCGCTTTTCTTACATCCCCGGCTTCCCCAAAGGATCTTGCTCAGCTATTCCTTAAAGTTCCTTTCTACATCCAGCCCACAGCCACATTTTTCCTCCCTGTCTTTCCAACCTCCAATCCCACCCCTTTCTATACTTTTATTGTATAGGTGGATTCTACCACTTTTCCAATAGAAAAGAATTATTCTTTAGGGGTGTGCACGCGCGTGTGTGTGTGTGTGTTGTCTGCATGTTTGTGTGGGCGTTCGACTGTCAATTATAAGATTCTCTTTCGTGGGCTGGAGGAAAATGTAATTATTTTTACATGACATATATAAAAACTCTTTCGAATGTTATACGATATTTCTTGGCAGGGGAGCCAAGCCTGTGTTATATATATGAGGGAGACGGGATATGTGAGCCTTTTGAGAAGGAAGCCAGCCTTATAGACTGCGGTCTCTATACTCCTGATGGATACCTGGATCAGTGGGCCACCCACGCTTCCTCCTCCCATGAAGACAAAAACAAGTGTCCCGTTTCCGTGGTAACAGGAGAACCTCATTCCATGGTAAGTTAGGCCAGAATAGAGTCAAGTCGGAGCAAAATTGTGAATTGACTCCCCCAGATGCTTAATGGGAATTTACATTTTTCTCCTGACTGACATCAAATTTAGTCCTGAACTCAGAATAAGATAATGTTAAGAGAAAAGCTTCTAGACTAGCAATTAAATCTCATCCTCCACCCTCTGTCCACATAACTCTCCGGTTTTCATCTAGGACCCTTTGCCTATGCAATAGCTCACTTCAAGGTATATAAAAGCATCTGAAAATTAACCTAAGAAGTACACATATCAGAAATTACAGTTCGGATTTGTATTTGAGATCATTTATTCTAAAAGAAGAAGCAGAAGCAGTAAAGAGTCAGAATGCTTGGGTTATATACTATTGGATTCGCCAGTATTACTATTGTTATTACTGAGTGAGGTTTGACAAGTCACTTACCCTCTGTGGGCCCCAATTTTCTCATATGTAAAATGGGTATAGTCATGCCTTTTATATTAAACTCAATGGTGTACTACACAGAGCAAATGGAATTTAAAATATAAGAAGATCGAAGTATAATTTGATTTAAAGAATTCTAATTACTGAAAAAATCCTAGAGTAAGTACTAAAAACAAATCCTTAGGTACACAAGTTTCCTAGGATATCTGTCTAAATAAGAGATCCCCTGAGGACCGACATCTATGAATTGTAGTTGAATACTGAAAAGCAGATTGCTTTGGCTGCTGGGTGCTATTCCAGCTACGGCTACTGCCCAAAAAACTCTCCCATTCATCATGACAATAGGCAATACAGTCCTTTCAACAGAAGTGAGATTTGGCTGTCTAGGTATTTTGTCATTGGATTTTAGCCTCGAGGACACATTCCAGGGTTGAGGGACTGGCCCAGGTTGGTGCCATAGTCCAGGAACTCATCAAGGACCTAGGTGTCTTCCAGATTCCAGTTCTTTACACCCTTGGCTTGTGACTTTCTTCCTCCTGCACGTGAACGTGACTGCTGCTCCTTTGGGCATGGCGTCAGGGTTTCGAGCAGGAAGAAGGGGGAAGGTCAAAGGGATATAGGGGGTGTGCTAGTTGAGTCTTCCTCTTTTTATGGGGAAAATGGTATCTTTTCTGGAGGTCAGCACTGTAGACTTCCACCGATATCTCATTGGTCAGATCCAGGTTACTTCATCGCCCTCAGTTGTAAGGGACCCCGAAGAGATGAGCATGTATAGCTGGATATGCTGTCTCTGTGAACAAAACTGGAGTTTGTTAATAAGAATGTAATGGGAAAATGCGCACGGGTAGACAACTAGCCATGTCTGCGACGCTCCTTCAGCCAAGTTCTGGCATTTTTCACAGGGGTTCTGGTGCCCAATGTCAGGGAGCCAGGAAAGTTGGGAGATCCTGCGTTAGCGACGGCTCTCCAGAGTGGTTCTTAGTCTAGCCTGTCTGTCTTCCTGAAGTGAAGTGGGAGAAATTTCAAGAGTTTCGCTTCCCTGGCTCCTTTACCCATCTGAATGCTCAGTGGCCCGCTGACTCAGTAGCCTCCCTCCTGGGGACAGTGGGCCCTGCGAGGCAAGGCTCTGGCCACTGTCCTGGGCAGACTTCCGTGGCGTCCTAGGGGGAATGGCCTGAAATGTGCCAGGACTAGTCTTTGGGCAAGATCCCTTGGTCGCCGGCGGGCTGAGCTCTGCCATGTGTGGTTTTCTACCCAGGCAGTTATACCTGGAGGCTGACAGAGATCATCGAGACCTACTCCCAATTTCCTGCCGATAATGTAATCAGTGGGTGCTCAGAAAGAGAGGGAAACTTTGGTCTTGAGCTGCAGAGTTTCATTTCCGGTCCTTATCTCTCACCCACCGCATTTAATTTTTAGTTGAAATTGCATTTCAGATTTGCACATCGTACCATCCAGATTTACCAGAGCAGCGTCCCCTCGCTGGCTGGTTTCCCTGTGTCACCAGTGGAAATGGACCTCGGGGTGAAGGGAGTGAGCAGCGAGAAGGTAGCCTGGAGAGAGACGATGAGGTTTGGCTCAAAGTAAGTGGCCCAAATGGCTTTTGGAAAGGCTGCGGATAGATGGTGCAGGTGTCTGTGTCCGTGCGTACGTGCGTGTGTGTGTGTGTGTGTGTGAATGTGTGTGCGTTTGAGCTCACAAACCATGCACTGGACTGGTTTGTCGGGGAATTTCCTTTTGTTATCTTGAAGGTTTTATGTTTTGAATCTATCTTCACCTCTTTTTGAAATTTGTACTTCTTTATAAGTAATCAGTTTATCAAAGTGTAACACACAGGGCAGTGCCAATGTCAGAAATGCACAGATGAACGAATTTTTGCAAAGGGGAACATTCTCTAACCACCACCCAGATCAAGAAATAGGGCATCGGCCCCCAAAAGGCTCTCATTCTTCTCAGTTGTTACACCACAGAGGTGTTTACTATTTTTCTTTCTAGCTCCGTAGATTACTTTCGTCTGGTTTTGAACTCTGTGAAAAATTTCACAGTATGTACTTCTTGGGTCAGATCCTTTCTCACTCAGCGTTCCTACTGCTCTGCCGAGCAGAAGTGCTCATTTTCATTGCCACGTAGCATTCCCCTACATGGTACACCGCGATTTACTTATCCACATAGATGAACATGTGGATGATTTCCAGTTTTTTTTCTGTTATCATATTACAGGTTGTTCTGCCATAAACATTTCTGTCCCTTTCTTTTAGTGAATGTGTAGAAACAGTTGGGCTTATTTGGAGCTACTAGATCATAAGTAGGCAGATGACCAGCTTTGGTAGATGATCCCAAATAATTTTCCACAGTAATTGCATTCATTTCTACTCCCACCAGAGGCTTATGACTATTCCCGTTTCTTCACATTTTCACTAGCCCTTGGTATTTTATGTCTTAATTTTAGCCATTCTGTCGGGTATATGAAGGTATCTCCCTGTGGTTTCAATTTGCATTTACATGTCGACTAATGAGATTGAGAGACACTGGCCATTGATGTATCCCCCTTTATTTTTCCTGAAAAGCGTATTCAAATCTTTTGTCTAATTTTTCTCTTGGGTTATCTGTCATTTTCTTTTCAATTTATATGATTTCTTTATGATTTTTTGAATGTAAATCTTTCTTCACTCTGTATTTTTTTAATATTTTCCAATGCTCTTCGGCTTACTTTTTTTGTCGTTCTTGATGGTATCTTTAGCTGAACAGAAGTTCTAAATTCTACTGAAGTGCAATTTATCCTTCTTTTCTTTGTGGTTAGAGCTTTTCGTGTATTGTTTTAAGAAATTTTCACCTACCACAGTATATACTTTTCTGTGTTATCTTCTCAGAATTTTATTGCTTTATCTTTCATATGTAGGTCTACAGTCCATCAGGAATTTTCGTGTATTGTGTGAGGTAGGGATCAAGAACTTTTCCCCTGTGGATATATAATAGATCGAGAAGCACTTTTAGTCAAGTTAAATTTTTTTCTCCTACAGTGCTTCTCTATGTCACTTTAGTCATAAGTCATCTGGAAATCTTTATGTGGAGGTCTGTTTATTGATTCCATATTTTGTTCCATTCGTCTGTATATTTTCGCATCAGTATTAAACTCTCCCTGTACATTTTTGATGAATCTTAACATCTGATAATGTAAGTCTAAAACTTTGGTTCCTTTTTTCCAGAATGTGTTGGCTATTCTTGGTCCTTTGAATTTCCACATAAATTTTAGAATCAGCTGCAATTTCCACACATGGAAGTAAAAAATCTGATGCAATTTTGTTTGGGATTTCATTGAATCTATAAGTCAATTTGAAGAGAGATTACTCTTTAACATACTAGTCTTCTAATATATTCTTCAGTTACTTTAAATCTTCTTTCATTTCTCTTAATGTTTTATAATTTTCTGACAAAAGGGGGTTGAATTTCGTCAAATGCTTTTCTGCCTCTGAGATGTTCATTGAATTTTCCCCTTTGCTCTGACAATGTCTTGACTTACTTTGACGAACTTTTAAATATGAACTACCCTTGTATACTTGAAAAAATTACAAATTGAAGGTATTGCATAATCCTTTGTCAATAATTTTGGAATCTTTTTGAGAATATTTTAAGTGTTTTTTCATCTGTGTTCATTAGAGCTTAGCTACTAATTTTATTATATTTTACTGTCTTGTCAGGTTTTTCGATGAAGGTTAGATTTGACTCCTAAAATAAGTTTATTTTTTCTCTAGTTCTCTGGAATATTTTATTTAAGGTTGGTATTAATTTTGGAAGTAAGCATCAGTGAAGCTATTTCAGTTTGGAGTTTTCTTTGAGGAAAAAAATCTAAATTATGTGTTAAAATTTTAAAACAAATATAGAAGAATTTGGGTTTTCTCTTGTTTCTTAGGTCAATTTTGGTAAGTTGAGTTTTTCGAGTAATTTGTTCATTTTATTTCTAAAATTTTGAATTTATTGGCATTGTTTTTTATAATGTTCTCTTATTTTCCTTGCAATGTTTCCATGCTCTCTAGGACTTTTTTCCACTCGTGCTATCGTTAATTTGGGGCTTCTTTTATTTATTTATTTATTTGCTCAGGCTTGCTGAATGTTTATTGATTTTATGAGTCTTTTGTGTATCTTTTTTATAGAATCAACTAAATAAATACATATATGCATATATATGTATATATGCACGTATATGTGTATATATCTGTATGTGTATATAAAAGGGATATGTACGTGCAGACATAAAAAGAAGAAAATAAGAACAAGAACATACGTATGTGCTCTTTTATGCATTATTCACTTCCTTTATGTCTGTATTTAATTTGCTCTTTTTCTAGTAACTCGAGATGATGCTTGGATAATGTTTAGCTTCATTTCTCTTTTTATATATGCATTAAGGCCATCGGTTTCCTTCTAAGTGTGACTTTAGCAACACCCTACAAATTTCACACATCTCATATTTGTTATCATTTAATTCAAACATATCTCCTGGCTTTCATTTGATTTATCTTTTTGACCCCTGAGTCATATATAACTGTTTTTGCTGTTTAATTTCCAAACATTTGTGGATTTTCTGGATACTTTTTTTTTTTTTTTTGATTCATAGCTAGAGTCTTCTGTGGTCGAAGGGTATATTCTGTTTAGTTTCAATCCTTTGTAATTTATTGAGACTTGAATTATGGACCAGGAGATAGTCAATCATGGCAAATATTACATGTACTTTGAAAAGAATATGTAGTCTGAAATTGTTGCATATAGCATACTACATTTTAATGATAGATCAAATTTATCTATCGTGTTGTTAAAATTTTCTGTTTATCGAGTATATATTGTATATAATACATATTTTGCCTGATAGTTTGTGTATTGTTTTCCATCAGCTACCGAGAGATACTGAGATGTTAGAATCTCCCACCGTAATCTTGGATTTGTCTGTTTCTCCTTTTTTTGGTCACTTTTTTGATTTATACACGTTGAAGATGTATTGTTAAGTATGCAGACAATTCTCACTTTGTATGGTGGTGTGGAAACCCAAAATGACCATGTAAGCTAAAACTATGCAAAACAAGCTTAATAATCAGTGGGGAGAATAACAATTGTTATGACTTCTTAAAGCTTTTGTCACAGTATTAAAAACTCTCACTTTTAGCAATACATGTGAAGGGAAATTGTAAAAAGTAGTAAAACTGGTATTTATTTAGTTCACTATAATATAAAACATCAGAGAATTCAAGTGTTTTATTTTATTGTAAAAAAAAAAGTTACCAAAGAGTAGTTTGAACAGTGCTTGCCTTTTTTTTTTTTTCATCACATGACTTACATTACAAAACGGTTTTTCTACGCCTTCATGAATTGTCACATTTCCATTTGGATCAACTTCCAGTATTTTATCCTTTGCGCTTTCAATGTTATAAAATATTTCTGCGAGTTCTTTTAACATGACTTTTTTCTTGGACTTACTTCCTCTGGGACATCTTCATCTTTTTTGTCACAATCACTTTTGTCAATTATGTTAATAGTTTCTCTTGCACTAAGTTCTTCTGGCTGCATATTTAGAGTCTCTTGAATGGCAGCAGCCTCAGCATTCACAGTCAGCAATTTCTTCTATAACTCTATTGACCTTTAATTCAGATTTCACCTCCATCATTATCGTTTTTCGTTCCTTTGTAAATTCTCTCTTTTGATTATCCTTTTTTGTCAAATGCCACGCGGGTTTATCACTGAGAGATGCGAAAGCAACACGGCTACATACTTTTCTGTCTCTGAGTGAACTGAAAAACAGAGACACAGTGACCAATCAATGACACACAAAATTATCTTTATTTGACATAAAGAAATGACGTGATTGGTCACTGATCATGATTCACATTTGTTATTGACATGGTGATTTGTGGATTAAAGGACGAATAGTGAAGTTTATATTTTCTGCAGTGATAATTATATTGCGCCAACTGAAATTTGAATAATTTTAGAATTTCTAAATCTTCCTGGTGGATTTTCTCTTTTAACATTAAGAAATGTCTCTCTTAATCTCTAAGAATACTTCTTGCTTATCTGTAAACTTTGTCTGATATTAGTGTAGCTATACCTATTTGTTTATGTTTGCATATTATGTCTTATTCCATCCCATTACTTTTGATCTTTTCATGTAAATATATTTAATAATATAATAATATTTAATGTATATATTCGATTTAAAATTTTCTACTTTCCAATTAGTGTATTTAGCCCAATTATATTAATGTAATTAATGATGTTTAATTTTAAATCTATGAACATGTTTTTGTTATGTACTTGTTTCATAGATTCTTTGTTTGTTTCTACTTCTTACCTTTTTTAGATTAAACAAATAGTTTTATTTATTTTCTATTCTTTTAGTTTGTTATTTATACTTTTTTTTCTCTAAGCTGTTATCTTAGAGGTTATAGCATGCATCCTTAACTGGTTAGGGTCTGTTATGAGTGAGTACTCTCACAGTTTTATAAGAAATGAATACTTTAGAGAGTTTTACCTCCATTTACTGCTTCTTGGCTTTTTTAAGTTTATATAATTTAAAATTACTTAGTATTTACCC